AGCTCGGTCGGATTTCTTACTTCCAAAGTTTTTGCTTCAGTTTTCCATCTAGGTAGGAAACTCGTCAAAAAATTTTTAAAAAAAGTAGTATTGATGACACTTGTGGCAGCCAAACATTACCCACTCCACTTCCTCTGTCATGGCGTCCGCATTCGCTCTGTTCCTGTTTTTACCACCTCTCTTTCTTCTTCGAGATACCCCCACCACTAATCGTCGTGTCTGATTGTGCCTAGGAGTGACGTCACTTCGTGTGTGACGACTGACGTCACTGATTTTTTCAACGCGGTTTGACAAGTGACGTCACTTGTTTTTTTCACCACTATGATATTTAATGAGGATTGTGGCTACCTTTTTTTTCCCACCATATTGTGTCATTAGTGACATTTTTCGTTGTGTTTCGCCGTACGAAGTTAACACGCCAGAGGTGATTATCTCGTTGCAACGCTTCCGGAGGAATACGCTCGTTGAAGAAGAGTTCCCGAAGTACGTAAGTCCGAAGTATTCAAGGTCGGAGACAATGGCATCGCCGTATTTCGTTGGGATTTTGACCAAACCCTTCACTTCGTAAGCGAATCCTTCGTTTAAAAACCGGAAATGTTTCCAATTCTTTTTCGAGCAGTGATTTTGTTGAGAGCACGTACGAGTTTCATAGAGTCCATCTATGTAAAATTAAGGTAAATTAATATTTGTACAAAATAAATAAAGTTATGTATTCATATGTATTACCTTGTGTTATTTGGACGACCTCTTTCAGCGAACGCCTACGACGAAATGAACTTGGTTTGATCGACTGCGCATTATATTATCAAACGTAGACTACCATGTTCCTCCATGTCATAGCCATATGATGAAAATAAAAGTGGTAAACAAACAAGTTCATGCATGTCTATCCAGGTTGTGTATTATTTTTTGTTATTATTGAAGTAAGTCAAATAAAATAAAACCAAGACTTGTATCTCTCTTTGTTGTAAAGCCTCCTCACTACGGCAAAGTGGAGATACGACGAGGAGGAGATTTGAAATAATTTTCATACAACAATTTTCGTTTGCGGGTTTTTTACGATCTCGCCAGGGACCGTCCAATCGCTCAAGTTAACGAGTGGTTAACCACCACAACAGTGACCATACATTCAGAATTTCATATTGTTATATTGAAAATTACTCAAACCCACAAAAACATAAAATATTTTCTACTTAAAAAAAACTGTAAACTATATGAACTATATATGAATAACTATATATGAAAACACCGTTGAATTTATAACAACAAAAAATCTTTCTACAGATACAAAATATAAGAAAAAAATTGCCTTCTTTTTAAAACACTATTTTATTTAAAAAAAAATTGCCGTCTTATTAAAACAAAATTCTACTGTGCGCTAAATATTATTTTAATGTCCCTAATAAATTATTTACAAATATCCAATTAGACAAGGCATATGCGCGAAAATCTGTGCACATCTTTGGCGTAATATTATGGAATAAACCATGTGTCCCTTCTTGCGCTGGTCTCAAAATTTCAATTTGTGGACAGCCAAAATTTTCGAGGTCTATTACATTATCGGTGAATTATGAGAGAAAACTTTTCTTTTGTAAACCTTAAACAAAAATTTTTATATCTATCAAGATGATGACGTAAAATCGTATCTAATTGGTCATACTCTATATCAACATCTCCCTATTTTATTTTATGGAAATAGCGATGTAATCAACTATTTACCTGAAGTCTAGACTCGTTTTGTGCACATTCCTCTCGCGGTTAGAAAACCCAATGTTGAGTCGAATAGTGGTCAAGGTCAATTCTTTTACAATATATGCATTCGTGTTGTCCACAAAGCATTGTATTTCTACAACACAGGCACTGTACGAATTCATGGTAGCAAATGAATTGAAATGCTATGGCTTTTGGAATTTATACTATTCTATGAACGATGTTGGACAGAGGATTATATTCTATTATTCTATTCTTACTTCCAACGATTTTTCTTCAGTTTTCAATCTCGGTAGAAAACTCGTCAAAACAATTTCCGGAGTTATACTCCGCCTTCCCCCTTATTTCTCGTTGATAACTAGGACGGATTTCATAATTCCAAAGTTTTACGTCAGTTTTCAATCTAGGTAGGAAATTCGTCAAAACAATTTCCGGAGTAATCCTCCGCTTTCCCTCATATATCTGGTAGATAGCTCGGTCGGAATTCTTACTTCCAACGTTTTTATTTCTGGTTTCAATCTAGGTAGTAACTTCGTCAAAACAATTTCCTGAGTTATCCTCCGCTATCTCTCTTATATCTGGTAGATAGCTCGGTCAGATTTTTTACTTCCAACGATTTTACTTCAGATTTCAATCTAGCTAGGAGTCTCGTCAAAACAATTTGCTGAGTTATCCTCCGATTTCCCTCTTATATCTCGTAGATAGTTCGGTCGGATTTCTTACTTCCAAATTTTTACTTCAGTTTTCAATCTAGGTAGGAAACTCATCAATACAATTTCCGGAGTTATCCTCCGCTTTCGCTCTTATTTCTCGTNGAGTTATCCTCCGCTTTCCCTCTTATATCTGGTAGTTAGCTGGGTCGGATTTCTTACTTCCAACGTTTTTACTTCAATTTTCAATCTAGGTAGGAAATTCGTCAATACAATTTCCGGATTTGTCCTCCGTTTTCCCTCTTATTTCTCGTTGACAACTAGGTCAGATTTCTTACTTCCAACGTTTTTACTTCAGTTTTCAATGTAGGTAGGAGACTCGTCAAAACAATTTCCCGAGTTATCCTCCGATTTCCCTCTTATATCTGGTAGATTGGTCGGTCGGATTTCTTACTTCCAACGATTTTACTTCAGTTTTCAATTTAGGTAGGAACCTCGTCAAAACAATTTCCTGAATTACCCTTCATTTTTCCTCTTATTTCTTGTTGATATTAGGTCGGATTTATTACTTCCAAAGTTTTCACTTAAGTTTTCAAACTAGGTAAAAAACTCGTCAAAAAAATTTCCTGGGTTATCCTTCGCGTTCCCTCTTATAGCTGCTAGTTAGCTGGGTCGGATTTCTTACTTCCAACGTTTTTACTTCAGTTTTCAATCTAGGTAGGAAACACGTAAAACAATTTCCCGATTTGTCCTCCGTTTTCCCTCTTATTTCTCGTTGATAACTAGGTCGGATTTCTTACTTCCAACGTTTTGACTTCAGTTTTCATTCTAGATACGAGACTCGTTAAAACATTTTGTTGAGTTATTCTGCGCTTTCCCTTTTATATATTTTAGATAGTTCGGTCGCAATTCTTACTTCCAACTTTTTACTTCATGTTTCAATCAAGGTAGGAACCTCGACAAAACAATTTCACAGAGTTATCCTCCGCTTTCCCTCTTATATCTGGTAGATAGCTCGGTCGGATTTTTTTCTTTTAACGTTTTTATTTCAGTTTTCAATCTAGCTAGGAAACTGGTCAAAACAATTTCCTGAGTTATCCTTCATTTTCCCTCTTATTTCTCGTTGATATTAGGTCGGATTTCTTACTTCCAAAGTTTTTACTTAAGTTTTCAATCTAGGTAAACAACTCGTCAAAAAAAATTCCTGGGTTATCCTCCGCTTTCCCTTTCATATCTGGTAGATAACTCGGTCGGATTTCTTATTTCCAAAGTTTTTACTTCAGTGTTCAATCTAGGTAGGAAACTCGTCAAAAAAATTTCCTCAGTTTTCCTTCATTTTCCCTCTTACATCTGGTAGATACCTGGGTTGGATTTCCTACTTCCAACGTTTTTACTTCAGTTTTCAATCTAGGTAGGAAACTCGTCAAAACAATATCCCGAGTTATCCTCCGCTTTCCCTCTTATATCTGGTAGATTGCTGGGTCGGATTTCCTTCTTTTAAGGTTTTTATTTCAGATTTCAATCTAGGTCGGAAACTCGTCAAAACAATTTCCTGAGTTATCCTCCATTTTTCCTCTTATTTCTCGTTGATATAAGGTCGGATTTCTTACTTCCAAAGTTTTTACCTAAGTTTTCAATCTAGGTAAACAACTCGTCAAAAAAATTCATGGGTTATCCTCCGCTTTCCCTCTTATATCTGGTAGACAGCTCGGTCGGATTTCTTACTTCCAACGTTCTTACTTCAGTTTTCAATCTAGGTAGGAAACTCGTCAAAAAAATTTCCTGAGTTATCCTNTCACTGAGTTATTCTCCGCTTTCTCTCTTACATCTGGTAGATAGCTCGGTCGGATTTCTTACTTCTAACGTTTTTACTTCAGTTTTCAATCTAGGTAGGAAACTCCTATTAACAATTTCCGGAGTTATCCTCCACTTTCTCTCCTATATCTGGTAGATAGCTCGGTCGGATTTCTTACTTCTAACGTTTTTAGTTCAGTTTTCAATCTAGGTAGGAAACAGTTGTTGTTAGAAATGCTTATCTTTTTGCAAATCATGCATATAAATCTCTCTGTGAGAATACAAAGAAACAATTTTATACATCCTTAGCGTTTCAATTTAATAATGTCAAGAACTCAAAGGATTTATGGCAATTGATTAATACTTTTAAATTTAAAAATTTTATGTGTGGAAATTCCATCTGAATGAGGTTTCTCATTTCCAAACACTGCTCATCCCGCTTCAGTCCGTTCTGTGCTTTCTTACGCCGAACCTTATCCACAATCAACTATTTTTGACTCAGTATTCTCATTTGAGGAGTTAGCATCTGTCATTAACGGTTTATAAAATAGAAAAGCTCCGGATCCAGATCGCGTGTTGTATGAATTTTACAAAAACGCTCCCGATATCTTTCACGATAAACAACTATCTTTTTTCAACTATATTTATGAAAGAGGAGGAACACCTCCCAGTTTTGCCAGGTCAATTATTTTCCCTCTTTTTAAGCAAGGGGACATCAATGATGTGTCAAATTATAGGGGGATATCTTGTTTAGACTCTGAGTCAAAAATATTTTCGGATTTACTACTTCGTCGATTAGAAAAATTTGTTGAAAAACATAACTTCTAAGTGAATTTCAGTCGGGCTTTAGACGCGGATATTCCACCATTGATAATTTATTTACCTTAATGAACATTATCAATCTGAGATTTTTAAAAAGAGGTCAAAAGTTATATTGCCTATTTGTGGTTTTTAAAGCCGCCTTTGACAGTGTTGACCGGAGAGCCCTCCACTTCAAACTTGGTACCTCTACCAAATTTATAAATATTTTAAAATCGTTGTCCTCCAACTGTTTATCGGCGGTGCATGGGCGCAATGGAATTTCGGAGTTTTTTCGGGTGGATTCAGGTGTCGGGAAGGGTTGTTTGCTAAGTCCACTCTTGTTCTCTCTCTTTCTAGATGACCTTCTCTCTGTACTTGATGGTGGCGTTCGCATTGGTGACGTGATAGTCAGTATACTAATGTACGCAGACGATGTGGTTTTCCTGTCTACAAATCCTGTAACGCTCCAAAAAAATATTGACAAACGGGTGGATTATTGTGACCTATGGAATCTTTCTGTTAATTTAAATAAAAACAAAAGTCTAGTTTTTCGTTCGGGCGGTCGGCTTGCATCCAATGAAAAGTGGTTTTTTAATGGGAAACCAATAGAGAAGTATTTGGGTGTGTCCTTAACTCTGAGATTATCAATGATCACGCATCTTGTTGATAGGGTCTCCGTAGCTAAACGTGTTATTAATAGAATTTGGCCTGCTTTCCTTTCCCAGGAACTAGTGCCTCTTCCATTTACGTTCGGTCTCTTTAAGTCTGTTTGTCTTTCCGTAGTCTGTTATGGAGCTCAGGCTTGGGGTTCGCAACGATTCGAAGTTATTGAGAAATTCAAGCGTTTTTTTATTTAAAAATTATTTGGTTTTCCATCGGTAGCTCCAAACCATATGGTTTATCTCGAAACGGAGGTCGATCTGCTTGAAGTGTTCACCTTGAAGTTACACTTTGATTACTGCCTAAGGATGTTGAGGTTACCTCCTCATAGATTGCCAAGAATCTCTGCCTTGGAAATAATAAAAGCCAAAACTTTCTGGTTTAGGAACTGGATTGATCTGGGTCAGAGATATGATTATGAATTGACTGTGGAAGACATGTCATTATGGAGTGGCCAGTTGGCCACCTTATTGAGTAAAATGAAATCTTCACGCCATGAGGGGCTTCAGAAAAAAGCTGTAGTCCCTTCCCGTTTTACATTATATCCGGAACTTGATCATTGTGCTGGCATATGCAGCCTGATTGCGGACCGGTCGTGTGTCTATCGCTTAGAGAGCTCCGCTGCCTAATTAAATTGAGGTGCGAGTTGCTATTCTTAAATTACACTCCATGGATGGAAAAAGTAGTTGAATTGTGTCCTCTTTGTAATTCCAGAGCGGTGGAAAACATTTCATTTTGTCGCCGAATGTTCGATTCTGGCAGAGATTCGCGACCTGCACGTTGGCCTGGCGAGGCACTCATAGCAATGTTAAATGATGGCCGTCTGTGTCGTCCTCTCATCAGATTTGCTCGCCATGCTTGGACTTACAGATTCGAGCTAGTCCAACACTTTAATTATTAATGTTTTACAATATCTCTTTATTTTGTTAGCTTTTATTATTACTATTTCTTCGATTTTCTTCTCTAGTATTGCTTTATTTTTATTATTTTTGATTTATTCATTTATTCCTTTATTTTTTTTTAATTTTGTTTAATTTAATTGCAGTATTTTATAGTATGTTCATAGATTAATTTAATTTAAATATTTCATGTATTATTATTATTATTCTGTGTTTGCTCACATCAACTCCGGTTGACGGAATATTGTCCATGCCGTAAAGTATTTTGTAACATATTTTGAGTTTGTTGTATTCCCTGTAAATAAATACTATTATTCATTCATTCATTCAGTTTTCAATCTAGGTAGGAAACTCGTCAAAACAACATCCTGAGTTATCCTCTGCTTTCCCTCTTATATTTCGTAGATAGCTCGGTAGGATTTCTTACTTCAACGTTTTTACTTCAGTTTTCAATCTAGGTAGGAAACTCGTCAAAACGATTTCCGGAGATATCCTCCGCNAGGTCGGATTTCTTACTTCTAAAATTTTTACTTCAGTTTTCAAGCTAGGTAGGAAACTCGTCAAAAAAATTTTCCGAGTTATCCTCCTTTTTCCCACTTATTTCTCGTTGATACCTAGGTCGGATTTCTTACTTCTAAAATTTTTACTTCAGTTTTCAATCTAGGTAGGAAACTCGTCAAAACAATTACTGGAGTTATCCTCCTTTTTCCCTCTTATATCTGGTAGATAGCTCGGTCGGATTTCTTACTTCCAACGTTTTTACTTCAGTTTTCAATCTAGGTAGGAAACTTGTCAAAACAATTTCTGGAGTTATCCTCCGCTTTCCATCTTATTTCTCGTTGACAAGTAGGTCGGATTTCTTATTTCAAAAATTTTTACTTCAGTTTTCAGTCTAGGTAGGAACTTCGTCAATACAATTTCCGGAGTTATCTTCCACTTTCCCTCTTATATCTGGTAGATACCTAGGTCGGATTTCTTACATCCAACGTTTTTACTTCAGTTTTCAATCTAGGTAGGAAATTCGTCAAAACAATTTCTGGAGTTACCCTCCTCTTTCCCACTTATTTCTCGTTGATATCTAGGTCGGATTTCTTACTTCCAAAATTTTTACTTCAGTTTTCAATCTAGGTAGGAAACTCGTCAAAACAATTACTGGAGTTATCCTCCTTTTTCCCTCTTATAGCTGGTAGATAGCTCGGTCGGATTTCTTACCTCCAACGTTTTTACTTCAGTTTTCAATCTCGGTAGGAGACTCGTCTAAACAATTTCCTGAGTTATCCTCCGCAGTCGCTCTGATACAGTTTTTACCACCTCTTTTCCTCCATCCAGACACCCCCACCACTAGTCGTCGGGTCTGATGTTGCCTAGGAGTGACGTCTCATTGGCGTTTGACGACTGACGTCACTGATTTTTTCAATGGGGTTTGACGAGTGAGGTCACTTATTTTTTTCACCACTATGGTATTTGATGAGGGTTGTTGCTATCTTTTTTTTCATCATATTGTGTCATGGGTTAATAAAAACTGCAGGTTTGAAGAATATATTATTTATATTATTTATAAAGTGTTATAATTAAATGAATTCAATTTCGTTGTCGCGTTTGTATACTAGTGACATTTTTCGTTGTTTTTCGCCGTTCGAAGTTAACACGTCAGCGGTGATTATCTTGTTGAACGTTTCGGGAGGAATACTCTCGTTGAAGAAGAGTTTCCGAAGTACGTAAGTCCGAAGTATTCAAGGTCGGCGACAATGGCATCGCTGTATTTCTTTGGGATTTTGACCAAACCCTTCACCTCGTAAGCGAATCCTACGTTTAAATCGGAAATTCTTTGTAGAGCAGTGATTTGGTTGAGAGCACGTACGAGTTTCATAAAGTCCTTCTATGTGAAATTAAGGTCACTCAATATTTGTACGAAATAAATAAAGTTATGTATTCATATGTATTACCTTGTTTTATTTGGACGACCTCCTTCAGCGAACGCCTACGACCAAATGAACTTGGTTTGATCGACTGCGCATTATATTATCAAACGTAGACTAGCATGTTCCTGCATATCATAGCAATATGATGAAGATAAAAGTGGTAAACAAACAATTTCATGCATGTCTATCCAGGTTGTGAATTATTTTTTGTTATTATTCGTCAAATAAAATAAAACGAAGTCATGTATCTCTCTTAGTTTGTAAAGCCTCCTCACTACGGCAAAGTGGAGATACGACGAGGAGGATATTTGAAATAATTTTCATACAACAATTTTGGTTTGCGGGTTTTTTACGACCTCGCCAGGGACCGTCCAATTGCTCAAGTTAACGAGTGTTTAACCACCACGCCAGTGACCATACATTCAGACTTTCATACCGTTATATTGAAAATTACTTCAAGCCCACAAAAACAAAATATTTTCTACTTAAAAAAAAGTGTAAACTTTTCCAGTAAAAATACTATATATGAAAGCACTGTTTAATTTATAACAAAAAAAAAATCCTTCTATATATACAAAATATAAGAAAAAAAAATTACCTTCTTATTAAAACTATATTTTCTTTAAAAAAATTGCCGTCTTATTAAAACAAAATTCTTCTGTGCGCTAAATATTATTTTAATGTCTCTAATAAATTAGTTACAAATATCCAATTAGACAAGGCGTATGCGCGAAAATGTGTGCACATCTTTGGCGTAATATTATGGAATAAACATTGTGTCCCTTCTTGCGCTGGTCTCAAAATTTCCATTTGTGGACAGCCAAAATCTTCGAGGTCTATTACATTATCGTTGAAATATGAGAGAAACCTTTTCTTTTGTAAGCCTTTAACAAAAATCTTTTTATATGTATCAAGATGATGACGTAAAATCGTATCTAATTGGTCATAGTCTACATCACCATCTCCCCATTTTATTTTATGGAAATAGCGATGTAACCAACTATTTACCTGAAGACTGGACTCGTTTTGTGCACATTCCTCCGGCGGTTTGAAAACCCAATGTTGACTCGAATAGTGGTCAAGATATACAATCGCCAATTCTGTTACAATATATGCATTCGTGTTGTCCACAAAGCATTGAATTTCTACAACACATGCTCTGTTCGAACTCATGGTAGCAAATGAATTGAAATGTTCTGGCTTTTGGAATTTATACCATTCTATGAACGATGTTGGACAGAAAATTATATTCTATTATATTATCATGTATTATGAGACAATAAGCGGTGGTATCAGAAGGAAACGGTTTATTAGCTTCGAATTCGAGTCTCACATCTACCGGAGCAGTTTTTATGGATTCGGACTGTTTGGCACAATCAATTACGACAATAGGAGCTTCATCTCTGAACTCAGATAATGACAGTAAAGGAGATTGATTAGGCTCAGAGTAGTAATTTTTTTGAAAGTTTGCATACATCTAGTACAACATTCCATATTGCTTATTAGAAAAATTCACATTTAAATCGTCGTATGGGTAAGATTTCGAATTTAAAAAAAAGTTTTACATTAGTCAAACAGCAATGATTAAATTTACTTGAATTCACCAACGAATTACTTTTTCTAGACGACTGAAATTACAAAATTACAAAACGGGGTATTTCCATTTGAGTAGAAGTTTTGACCGGCCACAACTGTCTCTGAGTTAGTAGTAGCGGGTAATCGTACAACTCCCAACTTCTAAATGGTACCGATATTACTTTTTCCTTTTTCAAATGCTTCAACATCAATAGTTTCTGATATTCGTTTAAATAGAGATAGGGTATTTTCCAAGAGAGATTCGTCAACTCTATTTTCAGTTGAAATGTAAGAATTTTCATCCCTTCTGGATCGTATTAATATGCGCTCTTGTTTCACGTTGATGATAACTTTTTGGTAATCTTCTGCAAAACCGAGTAACAATCGCAATGGGATGCATACATTGAAATGACCTTCACTCAAATTCAAACTTAGAATTTTAGATCCTGGTGAGATCCAGCCACCATTCGCATTAATGCCGTGACATCTTATTGAAGTTAAACCCTTCAAAGTACTGGAAATTCCAGGATTTTTAATTTTGTCTATTTCTGTTCCACAGATTTCGTACCTAATTTCATCGAACAAAAATGCAAAAGCGTTCTGAGTTAATTTACTATTAGTAGGTACACCCGTTCCATCTTCTTTTAAAAATTTCCCCTCTAAATAGAGAAAATTCTCGCATGGTAAGGTGTAAATATCTTGGTGTTGAACAGTGATTCTAATCTCATCACCATGTTGTAATTTTGTCGATGCATAAGGATAATGTGAATGTAATTCTATACCTTCTATGATCTCATGGCAACTAGGGCGTTCTTCTACATTTAACATTTCCATTGTGATTTAGGTAAAATTTTATATTTGGCCGTTTTCAAAAATTCTATATTTTCTTCCGACACGAGAGGTTGTTTCTCGTTAACTCCCCGTGGAAGACTGGACCGAAGTTTTCCATCCCTCTTTTTATATACTTTTCTGAAGTCTAATCCCATCGCTACCAGAAAAGATATTGAATTTTTCTTTAGAAATTGTTTATTTTATAAGGTCTAGCAAAACCAATAAACAAAGATGGCCGCAGGGATTAGAATTTGGAGACTGATACTGCCGTTTGTTCACAATTATACGGGCATTCTTCCAATATTTGACGAATTGAGGCGGAGGTTTTCCTTTACCAATGCTAACAAAATATCTCACCAAATTCGCCAAAGGTTCCGCGTCCAGAAATTTTATCCAAATTCAATATTGCACATTCGTTTGAACGCGGTTTGTTAGGGAGGGTTTGTTATCCCTCATAAAAACACCTCTGAAACCTGGAATCTTTTTCGAACGGGCTATTCTAGTAATGTCAAAATTTGTAAAACTCCACTGCGGAAAAGTAGATAATAGTTGCTTTGCTTTCTTCGACAAAGGGTATATCTTACAACCACCGATTTTCTTAGGTGGGCGAATAATGCGTTTTGACTTTTGTTTTCTAACCATGTTCTTCACTTGTCAAAGTCTATACTCGTACTGAATGTAATGTTCTACAATCGATTGTTTTGTATACTTGAATTTTTCATGTCCACCCAACTATTGTGTGATGAATCGAACCCGAGCCATTTTACTAAGGATTTGCCCTTATTTTTCTTAATCGCCTTTTCTATCAAGTAAGCGTCAGGATATTTAACTACCTGCAATTCTTCTTAATAAAACCCTCCAGCTATTTCCTGTCTCTTTGAATCCATCAATGTATACGTTATAGCGTTTGTTTTTTTAACTTTACATACTCTAAAAATTTCAGTAGACCACGATGGAGTGTAACCTTTACTAAATTGAGCCTTGTATTTTGATATTCTTACGTAATCACCAATCCTGAATTTTGCTAAGTTTTTTAATCTTATTTTGTGAAACGAAAACAGTTTGTAATAAATGTGTTTCAAATCTACCTGGTTTTACGGCTGCTGGTGCCATTCCGATAGTACGGTGTTTTTTATGGATCGAGTAAAGATTTTAACAGTGATAGCCATTCGTAAGATCCTTGGAGGCCTAAATTTCTTCCAAAACATTGTTTTCAAGGTTCTAATAGCTTGTTCAACTATAGATGCTTTCATATTACTGTAGGACGAATAGTGATTTATCCCAAATTTCTTAAACGAAGAATTTGCTTCTTTATTGTAAAACTCTTTACCCTGATCGTTTTGCAAATTTCTTGGTACACGACCTTCGGAAAATTGCCATATTTTCCTGAACGCCTCAGCTATCTCAGACCCTTTTTTACTTTTCAATTCACTTGCACATATATATTTAGAAAAA